CGTGGTTCATTTGCCTCCGTTGTTTTTGCCACTCTTTCGTCCTTTGCCTCCTCGTGTTCCCACCTTTGCCCTTGGGATCCCGAGCAAATGTGGTCGTGGAGGAGGCTGCCGGTTTGCCCTTGTGCAGCATATTCCCTTGGCCCTTGCCTTTTGGCGCCTGGGCATGGCCACGCGTCGATGCCCAGTAATCTGTGCCCTTGCCCTTCGCCCCGGGACGACGGGACTGGGCGGGCTTGTTTTTTGCCTCAGCTCTAGCTTTCGCCCTCGGTTTGGACGACGCTTTCGCCTTAGGCTTTGCTTTGGCCTTGGGTTGAGGGTAAACGCCCACGACACAAGACTCAGGGGGCTTCCCGACAGCCAAGGCACTGAAATCGACATCGTCCCCCGAAGTCTTTTCCTTGTATTTCCCTAGTTTTGGGCGATCCGTCTGTCGATGTCGCTGTCCAATTGTTTCTCTGGGTCGAGCTCTGACATTGCTTTGACAACTTCCGCGCGCTTTTGGTCGGCAACCTCCTTGTGTTTCTTGTCATGTTGAAGCTGTTCCGCAATTCTATGGACCGCTGAGACATGAAGAGTCGTCGCCCTCTCCTTCGTTACCGTTGTTGCAGCGTCAAACAGACCCGGGGGCGCACGCAGCGCCAAGCTAGCAACTGCCCCCGCGTGCTCTGCGCCCTTCGCCTGACAAAGGCTCACGAAGTGATCATAATCTGTTTCGTCCTTGATTTGCACTTCTTGTATTGCATTGTCCTGCTGGCGGTTGAAAAGCATATTCATCGTGTAAACCATCTGTTTGCAATCGTCAAAAGTTGTGCCTGCTTGGAGGGAAAACTCAAAACGCATTTGCTGTTGAAGTGTCAGGTTGCTCGCACTCCCTTCCTTCGGCGCGTGAGGTTTGCTGCCAATTGGAATTGTGCCTGATTGCAACTTGCCAATATCATATTTTAGCTTTGCGTTCCTGTCGCGGAGCTTTAGCAACGAAGATACATCTGCAGCAAATTGTTTGTGCAAGGCTTGCAACTCCGTGTGGACATAATGTGGAAGCTTGTCTGGGAAACACTGTGCCAAGAGCCCGGCCATGTCTTGATCATCCTCTGCCATAGCAAGCGCTCCACCCGTACGAGGCCTGCGTGGAGACCTCTCTCGCTCCCTGACCCCTCCTGCTGTATGCGGGGGCTGGGAGTCCGAGAGCGCAGAGAAGACCAGAGGCGCTGCACACGCAGCACCTGCCATCAAGAAAGTCGGTCGCACAGCGGAATGAAGAAAAGAGACATCCCCAATCAAGGACACAACTGTACGATATCAAACTCTCCTGTTTCGGGTGCACCTAGCCCGGTGGAGCGTGCTTCAGTCGAGGGCTCTGCCTCTCGACACCCTGAGCCAAGGACGCATACGGAAGAAGACAAATCGCTATGATTGAATTGCAACATTCTCTGCAACTCTGCACTCTTATGGCAACAAGAAAAGAAGAAGAAGAAGAAGAAGAAGAGAAGAAGAAGAAGTGCGACAGTTTCGCAGATCGCAGCCCCCCCAGGGATGGCCAGGTGAGAGGCAAGCCAGCACGCAGGAAAGCGCGAGGTGAGAGGCAGGAGAGAAGGGGAGAGGGGGCGGGAGGAGGAAGAAGGTGTGCGACCGCAGTGCGCTGTTCAAAACGAGAACCCCACGCAGGAGGGTTGGGAATGATACCAGCGAACAAAACTCCAATCATAATCTTTCCAGGGCTATAGGGATATGGGGCTGCAGGCCTATATTGTTGTAGGGCTATGAGGCGCTGGGGATATAGGGCTGTGGGGCTATAAGGCTATAATCAGGCCATAGGGCTATTAGGGATACGGGGCTAAAGGGCTATAGGGTTATAGGGCTATAAGGCTGTAAGGCTATAGGGTCATAGGGCTATAGGGCTGCCGGGCACCCGGGCACCTGGGCACCCGGGGACCCCAATCAAGGACACAACTGTACGATATCAAACTCTCCTGTTTCGGGTGCACTTAGCCCGGTTGAGCGTGCTTCAGTCGAGGGCTCTGCCTCTCGACACCCTGAGCCAAGGACGCATACGGAAGAAGGCAAATCGCTATGATTGAATTGCAACATTCTCTGCAACTCTGCACTCTTATGGCAACAAGAAAAGAAGAAGAAGAGAAGAAGAAGAAGTGCGACAGTTTCGCAGATCGCAGCCCCCCCAGGGATGGCCAGGTGAGAGGCAAGCCAGCACGCAGGAAAGCGCGAGGTGAGAGGCAGGAGAGAAGGGGAGAGGGGGCGGGAGGAGGAAGAAGGTGTGCGACCGCAGTGCGCTGTTCAAAACGAGAACCCCACGCAGGAGGGTTGGGAATGATACCAGCGAACAAAACTCCAATCATAATCTTTCCAGGGCTATAGGGATATGGGGCTGCAGGCCTATATTGTTGTAGGGCTATGAGGCGCTGGGGATATAGGGCTGTGGGGCTATAAGGCTATAATCAGGCCATAGGGCTATTAGGGCTCTTAGGGCTATGGGGCTATGGGGCTATGGGGCTATAGGGCTATAGGGCTATAAGGCTGTAAGGGTATAGGGCCATAGGGCTATAGGGCTACCGGGCACCCCGGCATCTGGGCACCAGGGCACCCGGGCACCCAGGCGTACCGCCGAAATCGGCGCCAGACTTCACTCAACCACAAGAATCCGCTGGGACCCTTGCGGAGGCAAGCTGGGGAAAAAAACATCGGAAATGACAGTGTTTGAAGTCCTGTGCTGAGAAAGCAGTACGCGGAGGGGGGTGGGGGCCACGCCCCGGCCACATTGGGGGGAGTCAGAGGCGAGTAATACCCAGATCGAGTACCTATCAAGAAAGGAGCTGGAGTTGGCAGAGCCGGGACTGAAGCCAGAGCCACCACCAGCAGCTGAGCGGGAGCTGACGCTGGAGCTGGGAGCTGGCAGTCGAAGTCGGCAGCTGGCAGAGCTGGAGCTGAAGCTGGAGCCACCACTGAAGAGAGGAACGCCCCCATGGCGCCCAGAAGAATACAAGTGGGGGGCCCGAGCGTGAAGATACCTCTTTCCCCCGTCGTGCACCCTTCCCCGTGTGCTCGGGCGCCACGGGCGCGTGCTCTGCTGCCACGGGCAGCTGGAGCTCGCGTGCAGAGCAGCAGCTGGCGCTGGAGTTGGAGCTGGCAGCTGGAGCTGGCAGCTGGAGATGGCAGCTTGAGCCAGAGCTTGTCTTGGGAAGGGGCTGGAGCAAACCGCCGGACGTGGAGCGAGACTGCTCGTCGAGCGGGAGAGGGAGGCGCAGGTGGGTGCCGCGGGAGGGAGGCGCGCCCTTCTCGTCCTGCCCCAGACTCTGCTCTACAGTCCTGCCCACCCTGTAGACGCCTCACCGAGCGCACTCGTGCAGCCCAAAAGCGGATCGACCGCCACGTCTCTGCTCTGCTGCATCTCTCATCGCCGCCATCGCCGTCGCGCACCTCCACCTCGGCCCATGGAGCAGGAGGGAGATCGGGCCCCAGACGTCTTCAGGTCCTGCCTCCCCTTGCTGTTTTACGCGGTCTGGCCGCCGAGGGCCTGTGACCCCACTCGTTGCGGATGGACTCGGCTCGTGCCAAGCAAGACCTCGAGATTTGCAAGCGGAGCTGCGGACTACACCCAGGGATCTGTTGTCTTCACTCGACGTTTTGAGTCAGAATGCTTGACTATGGATGCCGCCAGCAGTTTCCCCTGGAAACCCGCCCGCCCGCCCGAGCCAATTCACCAAAGCGTTGAGATGTTTCCGAACAGGGTACAGGGGTCGTTGTGTCATCCCCGTCACAATCCTGCTGGCCACTGCCCCAGTCACCCCATCCCCGCCCTCTGGCGGGGGACTGTGCGCGCAGAATAGTGAGGTTGATTGCAGGGCAGAGCCTTCAAGGTCTGCTGCCAGCGACTCTCGCCTCCTGAGCCTCCGCAGCGATCACGATAGCCGTGTTGGTTAGCGTGGACCCCGAGCAGGAGGTTCTACGGTCGATGCCCACTATGTGGTACAATCTACCTGGTGGCATTCCGCCCCCAGCCCGCCACCGTGCCTGGGTTGTGGACCCGAGGCCTCTTTGATGTCTCTTGGGGGGGGGCCTCTTGGAGGCCTCTTTGGGGCTTCGGAGGCGGAGGAGGAGGAGGCGGAGGACGACGAAGAGGAGGACGAGGATGAGGACGAGGAGGAGGAAGAGGACGAGGAGGAGGACGAGGAGGAGGAGGAGGACGGGGATGAGGAGGAGGGAGTCTCATGGAAGCTCAGTTGGCTTCTTGGGAGCCCCATTGCGATGGCCCCAGCCCTGCACGCGAATGCTAATGGTACGGCCTCCGATGGCCTCCCATCGCAACAGCTGGACCCAGCCAGAATCACTGGCAAGGAGGATTGCATCGGGAGGAGGAGGAGGAGGAGGAGGAGGAGGAGGAGGAGGAGGAAAAGGAGGAGGTGAAGGAGGAGGAGGAGGAGGAGGGTGAAGGGGAGGAGGAGGAGGAGGAGGAGGAGGAGGAGGAGGAGGAGGAGGAAGAGGAGGAGGAGGAGGAGGTGTGGTCGGGCCACAAACGTCAGAGCGCACGCGGACAACAGTAGGGCGAGCATTGTCGAAGCGAATGCATAATGTAGCATCTTGGTCGTCGTGGGAGGAGTCGTAACAGCAGGATTTGCAGCACGAGGCAAGCAGCGAGCAAAGGGTCAAAACCAGAGGTGAAAGGCGAGGGTGTGTTGACTATCTGTCTCCAGTCGAAGTGGGTGGGCAGCGACGCCAGAAGCGTGCATTCGTCCTTGGAATTGGAAGTCTGGCCCATAGTAGTTGCGGCAAGGTGCTACGGATAAGTATGTTTAACTTCATCGGCGCGCCGATGGCCCTTCTAAGAGTTATTCAGAAGGACTCGCCACTTACGTTGCACAAATGTATTATGCTAATCACCCGAAGTTTAGAATTGTCATGTTGGCCAAAGTTTCATTTCCGAATGTGTGAGTTGTTGGTGTGTCAGTCTTTCAGTCGATTGTTGTGTGAAATTGTTTCGCGCCCAGGCTGTGACTGCGGAGACCCTGATGAACTTCTGCCTTCACAGGATGGTGCTGATCGCGCAAGGCTGCTCAAGATTGGCAACTGAAGGGCCACGCGTTGGACACAGGGTTCGTAACAGTAATCCGCTGCCGACACGGGAACCGAAAACCAAGCTCGCAATTCTACCCGTCTGTTTGCGAAAATCGTTGGTCGAATGCGTGAAAGTAGTTTATGTCGTCCTTCATGAAGAATGAGCATACGAGATTTGGAGATTGCAGTCGCAAGGCAATGCCGGGAAATGAACCGTCGCCATGGTTGCAAGTCGAACAGCAGACGTGTCGGCGCTGCTTGCTGTCGCATTGCAGCCCAATGCCAGTTCCCTGATGTTGGGCTTCCTTACAGGAGTCTTATGGCCCTATGTCAGCAGATCAGTGAGCAGGGCACAAACCAGGTCCTGTTCCCCAGACTCCGCGTGGAGATTTCCGGGGTGCCACCGAGTTCTAGGTTGGTTCATTGGGTTCTCTAGCGAATTCCTAGGTGTTTGTTGCCACCTTCCGACCCACGTTGCACTATGTTACATCAATGGCATGTTGCACACATTGAATACGACATGGGATGTATGTGGATTGATGTGGGTGGCCCAACTTGCATTGCCCTGGCATTTGTTTACATTTGCTTCCATTGCAACGTGCAGGCCCATTGCACAAGTTTACAACGTGTGCATGGCATTGTTTTGCATTGCTCTGCTTTGTTTGGGAGTTCTGCGCAATACACTGACGTTGTTTGTTCTTCATTGGACTGCATTACTTGGCTGGCTGGCATTGCGACATCGGGCTCATGTGTTGGTACCTCCTCGGATTGCTTCAGCATTGCTATTCAACGCATTGCAGTGCATCACGCGAGGCATAGCATAGCATAGCACGGCCTGGAGCATCCTCGAAATTCCAATTGTTAGCCTTCAGCTTACCTTCGTATGTGTAATGCTTGCAGTCTGCCTTGCTGCGTGCCTCCAGAAGAGCCCCCGTGCGAGCTGCCACAATAAACATAGGATGGCGGTTTCAAGATGGAGGTCGTTCAAGCCGACATTTCGTTTGCAGGTCGTGTCGGCGAAGCGTGCGTGGTATTCGTAGCCGTTTGGTGGAGGCTCTGGCGTTTCGCTTGCAGGCGTGTGAGATAACTCCGCTAGTCTTGAGATGCTCGCTAGTCTGTGAGATGCTCCAAAGCCACGTGCTAAACATCGCCGAGCCCAGCCAAGTTGCTTGCTCGGCTTGGTGGGTTGGTTCGGCGTGGTTGCTTAGCTTGGTATTCCCAGTCTGCCCGATCCCTGCCACTACTTACCCAGTGCAGCCGGCTGTAATCGAATGCATCCGTTCAGTAGGCATGGGTACAAAGTTTGGATCAGCCGTTCATTAGGATCGGTATACCAGGATCTTCATGTCATAAAATTCAGCGTAGTTAATCCATTTGAGTGGTTCAGAAGGATGTCCTTATTGGAATTCGCGTGGTGGTGTCTACGCACGTCTTCGATTACCCAGGGTGGCGTTCTTGGTTTTCTGCCGCAAGTTCTGGAGATGTCTGCCAACTCTGGTCATTAAAAGTGGGTCACATTGTATGTAAATCTCCCCAGGGCGTTGATCAGTGGCCATTTAGTAAAATCCAGTGTCTGCAGCCACGACTTTCCATCCTCTTGTGTATCGGCATCATCGAATAATGGCCTGCCAGACCGTGGATGCATCCTTCGAGCCCGTGAAATATCATTGCCGTCTTCGTCTCCTGCATTCATTATTGGCCCCATTGATTATTGGCCAGTTTCCGTCCTAGGCAAGCTGTCATCCCTTTGACCACTCAAAGTAGATTTCTCCAACGTCGTGGACAAGCTCCAGAAACAGGAGTAGACCGTACTGAACCTTGCATCAGTCTCGTTAGAGATTGTTCCCCGTCCCGTGCAATTATTTGGACGGCGAGGGCGTTTTTCGTTTATTTGTAGCCCTTCTCTGTCGAAGCCGCATCGAGAGCTCAATGTGTTTCTGAGCTCTGCTGCGCTCAGTACTGACGCCAGTTGTTGGTTCTCGTCAGTGAGGGTGCTCTGTGGATGGCAACAGATTTCGACGGCGTCGACGATGATGGTCACCGTGGATAGTGGCAGTTATGCTAAGAGAAATAGTTAGGCGCACCGATGCTGTCACGAGTTGCTAAGGAACTGCTTTCACGCTTTCTCTCGCTTGACCTTCCTGCGATCGTCCCTGGTCATCGTCATAAGTAAGCCCGCCTGGTAAGGGCCCTAGAGTGCCAAAACAAAGCGTGGCACTTTATGCCCCTGCCAGAACGGTCTGGGTCAATGTTTTTTTTGTTATTTTTGTTGTTGCATGCCAGAGCCATTACCAGACGGGGATGGTTCCCAAGGGCGCGCGTGGTTCACGCTCGGGCGCGTGCTTCGCGCTCGGGTGCATGCTTCGCGCACGGATGTGTGCTTCATTTTCGGGTGCTCCGTATAATCGCCGGCACTTCCGCACATACTTGAATTTTTAATCCTCAGGTGCGCTCGCTACGTTTGCATTGGCGACGCGTTGGCTGTCTAGGCGACGCGTTGGCTGTCTGAGTTGGTCTGTCCAGTGGCCACCAGGCTGTACCAGTCTTTCCGCAAGGCCGCGGTTCACTCGCGTGCTTGCCCATTGCAGGTCGGTTCGCGTGGCGTTCCAGGTTTGCCTGGCGAGTTGTTGCTTATTTTGTGAGTTCATGGAGTGGCATTTCGTTGTGACGTCTTCTCCTTGAAAAACCTGAGCAATTCGTATGGTTGCACTTGCATGGGATGCCGGGCATTTGCAGAAGTTTCGCGGCCAAGTCATCGCCTCGACTTGTTGGTGCTTTTTTCAGGTCTTCCAGATCCCCTCCAAGGGTTACTGAATGGCCAGCGTGTGGGGCACGTCTGCGGGTCCAGCTCGTCCAGCACCGTTCGCGTGCCGTCCAGGCGGAGATCACACTCGGCGCGCTCCCACTAAGAAGCGTTGGTGCTGCCTCCGGCGCATGCCCCTCGTGATCCCCGGGCCTCTGCGATCGCGGCCCGTCCTCCACTCGTGGTCGGCGGCTCTGCCCTCCTGATGTGGCTTCTGGAGTCTAGGCTCAATGGATTTCCCAGACTGGCGACCATAAGGGTCGCCACTCCTGGCAAGTCACCGGCCTTTCTTCGCCCCACGTGTCTCTCACTTCGACCGTCTCGACTTCGGCTCCGCCGACCGCCGCTCTTTCCTGGTCGGCGGTGGGATCGTTGATGCTGGCACTGGTGAGCTCGCCAGGGGCGACGAGGGGGGCGAAGAGTCCGGGAGCGGGCGGGACACGTATTCGCCCGGGCGCCTCGCCGAAGGTACGGACCAGCGGCGTCCTTGGATGCACGTACTGCTCCCCCTTGCCAGGAGGGAAGAAAACACACAGACACAATGAATCGTCGATTCCCAGGACAATATGGGAAAATATGGGAAGTGGGGGGGAAGACAGAAACCCAGGAAATATGGGAAAATATTGGGAATCCTGTTATTTGTGTGTATGTGTGTCCTAGGGCCCCTTCACCCTGGGCTATTCGCACCCGCCGTCGCCCCCGAGTTCGGCACTCCCGGCAGTCGCCGCGGCGCTGGTCACGGCCCGGAGGCCGCGGCGCTCGCCGTCATGCCCGAGGGGGGCCCCGTGCCGGGTGTTGGCACGTGAGTTTGATGCTGTCCCTCGGGCAGTTCGCGTGCTCTTGCTATGACTCATTCCGCGGGTCCGTCCCGAGGAGTTTCCATTTGTTGAGACATGTGAATGTATTAATATCTACGCATACATTTGAAATAGAGTGTCTCGAATCTCCGATCGGTCTCGAAACCCTCGAGCCAAAGGAGGCAACAGGAGGTGATGGAGTGAGTGATCGCGGTGATGCTGCCTGTGATGTTGCAGGTCCTTCCAATGCTAGTCTTCATCTCTACCATGGTATGGTTACCATCTCTGACGCGCTTTACCTCTCCAGTGATGCTGTAGATCTATCTATTGATGCAGCGTCGGGAGCAGCAATGGCAGCGGTAGCGGGACATAATGATGTTGGCATAGTTGTTGGCGTTGTCCGTACAGGTTGGACGCATACAGAGTCTTTACATGTTTTGCCAGGGAGCATTTGATTTGATCTGTTCCACGTGTCCGACCATGCCGAAACACGCAATGACTTCATATGGAGTATCGCTCAGACGAGAAGTTTCCGTTCACGATCGCCTGTCCCGAACGACAGTCTAGAGCCACCATATTGATTCCCATTGCCGTTATCCCCAGCAAAGCCATGGGCACCTAGCTCACAGCGAACAGATCCAGGAGACGCACCGAGTCGCGTTTGGCCATGCTTGACACAGTGTTCGCCCCCATTTGTTCCGTCCTACACGAAACTAATGACGAGCGCTTCATCAATCACAAGTGGGTCTCTTGGCTTGCAGCGGAAATCAATGCCACATGGTCTTGCAGAGCGAGCTCGCCTCTGGCAGCGGCCAAGGTGCCGCTATCGGCCGTCGCATCTGCATTGGTAAAGCTCATGGCGGGTTCGGCTGGCAGCAGATCACACAAAGCGTGAATGGTCGTGTGGTGTTCTTGGAAGTGTTCGTTCTTGCTCTTGCTCTTGCCGCTCTTGCTTTTGCCCTCTTTGCCTTGCCCCTTCTCACGCTTGGGCCAGTGTGGCCATGAAGCTGGCAATTGTGGACGTAATGGTGTACTCGAAGTTGCTGGGCCGGCTGAGCGTCCCAATCGTCGATCTTGGGCCTTGGCTGGCGCGCTTGCGCCAAGGTCTGGCTGGCCTCAGCTTCCAGCACCGTCGCGGATTCCAGTTCTGCATTCAGATACTTCAGTTCTTCGTCAATTTTTGGGCAGCGCCCCGTTTTTGAGACTGGTTGCTCGGTGCTTGCGTTGTTTCTGTTGGCCGGAGCCGTTCTCCTCGTATTCTTGGTACCTCCAGCTTTGGGCAGCCGCAGCCCAGCCTTCATACAATTCTGGACCGCGGTCTTACCCGTCGTCCGCCTCGAAGTAGAGAATTATGGTTGTGGTTTGGTTTCCCCCTGGCCGTAGCGTGGCACCGC